AAACGTCTGAGAAACAAAACACACATTTATGACGGATTTATAAGAAATCTGCTGAGTAAGCAGTATGTGACGTAACATCGATGTGTGCATGCGCATTACCATAAGGTATGCTGGATTGACGGGTATGACAGACAGTCAGAACACCTGTTCCCACAAGTATCAGAGACCACTCCATGTGGAGAGGAGTCAGGTCAGGGGCGTGGTACGGGGGGAATGTGATCAACAGGGGGCCCTCTACAATTTAATTATTTATTTTTTGTTCATAGAAATAAAAATAAAAAAATCAGGGCCCTGTCAATTACAAGATTAATGATAATGCATTTTCATAGATTGTTTTTAGCAGTAAAAATTTTATGTTCCCACTCCCAGGTCAAAAAACACACATCCATATTTGCCTTGAACACCCCCCTATCTGCGTTAAATGGTTCGTTCCTGCTTGGAGCGCTTCACCGTGACACTGTTCAGCTGCAGACAGTGGAAGACATGAACGATTGTGGCAGTTACTATGCTGCTAAGAAAAGTTATAAAATCAGGTTTTCAAAGAAAAGAGAGGGAGAGAGAGAAAAAGGCAAGAGTGTTAATTTATAACCCAGTTTTTCTCCAAGAGAGGTGGGTAGACTGTGTGAGATTATCAACCATTTAGCATAATTAGCTTAGCTACGTACTAGCAGTGAGTGAATGAGGCTAATTCACAGTGCTAAGAGCGTCCTACTAGTTCTGATTGGTTGTTTTGGTCAGAATGGTGCATTACTTTAACCAGTAATAGTAATTCAGGAAGGAGATGGAGGAGATTGATTGTTTTCACAGATTATCTGCCTCATAACAAACTGCTACGACATTGTGACAGCTTTAACAAATATGGAGAAAACATATTTCTCCTGCACATGTTTATTTAAGAATAAACCTGTGCAGATAAACTTTCTGCCCTCTATTTCACAGTGGCGCAGTTGGTAGAGCTGTTGCCTTGCAGTAAGAAGGTTCTGGGTTCGATTCCCAGCCCAGGGTCTTTCTGCATGGAGTTTGCATGTTCTCCCTGTGCATGTGTGGGTTCTCTCCAGGTACTCCGGCTTCCTCCCACAGTCCAAAAACATGACTGTCAGATTAATTGGCCTCTCCAAATTCTCCCTAGGTGTGAGTGTGTGTGTGCATGGTTGTGTGTCCTGTCTGTCTCTGTGTTGCCCTGCGACAGGCTGGTGACCTGTCAGGGTGTATCCTGCGTCTCGCCCGGAATGTTAGCTGGAGATAGGCACCCCTCCCGACCCCACTGAGGGACAAGGGTGTATAGAAAATGGATGGGTGGAGAAAACATATTTTTTATTAAAGTTATGTACTGCAGCTTGAATAAAATGCAACTACGTAGCATTTTTTGAGAAGTCTGGATTGCTGTATGTGTAGTTGCACTTTGCTTTTGACTGTTGCTCATGGGAGACATTTCAGTAATCTAGAACTAACAGAAAAAATTTAAGCAACCTACTTGCATACTGGATGTGGACTGTTGGATGTTAAATTCATGAGCAGTAGACATTGTGCTAATTATCAGTATTGAACCAAAGAAAGCAAGGCAGATGCAAGCCTTTAAAATTGTGATGCTTTTTATGGGTCAAATAGACTCAAAAAATTGTAACAGCAGCTGTGCAAGGGGGCCCAAACAAATTTTTTGTCAGGGGGGCCACGATTCCTGGCATCATCCCTGTTCAGAGCATACATCAGTTTTAATGAAGCATCATACTGGACCTGAAATAGTACTAATTATAGCTTCTATTTGAAATTTGATTGTTTTTGAGTCAGACTGACACAATGCCTGAGTGATGAGTGGGATCAAGAAGGACAATGCTCACTTTCCCTTAATAAGGACCCAGATAGACTTCACAGATCCTCAAACCATCAACAAAAGCGCTTCAAAAACATTTTCATTCTAACCAACATTATAAGTATCCAATTTAGAGCCATTGCTCTCATTTTTAAGTGTTTTATACTCTTTATAAATCATCAAAGGCACAAAATAATCATAAAATAGTTTGTTTTCAAAGGTGTCTGAAGAAATACTAAATACGCTGTGGTGTTCCCAAGGTTCTAAATTCACTGAACTCCAGCAGAAAACATTCTCTCCAATCTAGAAATTTTTTTTAAAGATTTTATTGGCTCTAGTGGCCTTTATTTGACAGTTAATTGACAGGAAAGCAGATAATGAGAGAAGGGGGGAGACATGCAACAAAGGGCCAGTTCATTGAACGCAGCTGTTGCAATGCAGCTGCGTTGCAGCTGCGTTAAGCAGCTGTTAAGCACATAGGCCAACCCCATATGTGCTTAACCCCACATATGGGGTTAAGCACAACCCCATATGTGGGTTGTGCTTAACTCCTGCACCACCACAGCACACCCCAATCTAGAATATTAAGATGACATTCTATACATGATCTGGGAAAGAAGTTTATATGAGCTAGGATACATCACTGTGGAGTAATTTCAGACCTTTTGGGTCTGCAGAACCATTTTCCTGCTGCCACACTGGAGGACCTTCGAGCACGGAGGACCTGAAAATAATGAGAGGATGAAGTTGCCTACACCGTCATATTTCTCATGTGCGATGCATCACATGTAAATGCGGTGAGTGTTGGATTGCAAATTTAGCTTTGCTACATCATCCTGTTTCTTTTGTTTTTCACACTCTACACCTGATATCACGCCAATCTCTGTGACAGTCAAAATAGAAGCAGGGAAAGAACATGTTTAGTCTTGCTGTTCAAACCATAATGAAACTGCTGATCTGTATAAAACCATATAGGTGATTAGACTTGTAGAGATTTAACAGCATGTATTTTCCTCCAAAGAAATGAGTACATCTGTATGTTGCTTAGCAATCACTTGGGTTATTTTCTTACCCTCAGCCTGTTCACTGGTTTATACCTTTGAGATTTCAATCACCTTATCTCAAAAATGGGGACCAGAGTGTCAAGGGCATTGCAAAGGTAGAGCTTCTGAGGTCAAGCAGACTTTTCAGTTCACAAATAGAAATTACATCCATGCTTGGTTGGTTGGCTATTTCTTTTTTCTAACAATGCTTCTTGGTAATAAATCATTTGTTGTTTTTGTTCTTATCCTACATTGGAGAAACTGAACAGCAGCTACACAAACTGATATCCCAGTTTGTGTTGGGATATTCTTTGTTGATATCCCAACAAAGAAGGTCAATAAATGATCAGGTCTGATTTACAAGATAGTGAAGATGAGTGATTCAAGAGAGGGATGAAAGAAGCCATCTATGATATGAACAAACAGAAAGATGAAACCTGAGGCCAAACCCTCAGTTTAAGGCTAACACCTCCTCTGCAGCCCTGACTCATCTCCCCAGCTGGTTTTACACATATCCACACCTTGAACCATGTGACCAAAATGTGACAAGTTGGGATCATTATTTGTGTTTGGGTTGTTAAGATCCAACCACTGAACCTGATGGGGGTTAGGGTTAATGTCTCATGTGACACTAATGGGCCTATTATTGTGACTGTTCTAAATACTGATTATAAACATGATACTCTCCACCAATAGGATGAAAGTCCTGTTATAGCAAATGGTAATGGTAAATGGCCAGTACTTGATCTTTAGAATTTTTATATTTTAGAAAACTGAGAATATATATCATTGTATGACCCTTTGCTCTCAGTCTCTGATAGTGTTGTTCCACTCACAACCTGTGCCTAGCAATTCTGGGGAAAATTGTCCACATCAAGATAGCTGCCATTTAACAGCTCATGCAAATTAAATGTAAGCGAAGCTTTACAAAGGTAAGAACTTTTACTCAGACTTCCTGTTTAACTTAGGGTGTCATTCTGATGTGACAGTGAGCCCTGAATCTCTGAGGCACTATTCACAATAGGAAGAACAAGAGATTGTGTGATTCAAGCAAGGATCTTCACAAGTCAGGAAATACCAAAGAGAACTTAACTTTGTCTTCATTTACCCACATCTACAGCCAAAGTAATACATAAAATGTCTAAATAAACTTGCCATCACACAGTGAGAAAGGATGCAAGGGAGTTGAAGAAGTCTTCAAACCTCACTAAAGCTAAGAGTGGGGTCACCGAAACCCCTTGTCCAGTGTCAAGTCTCACTCTAACCAGTTAATGTCTGGTTTTAATCTAACCAAGTTGGGTGTGTCTCCACTGACAATGTGTTCCTCTCTATATGGACGTAAATATGGGCTGGAATGTGGGGGAGGGGGAATGTGAAAAAATGAGCTGAAATTTCTCTGAACAAAATTATGCAATTTTTGTCGATGTCAACGGGAAACAATTTTGGCACTTTGCATGAAGTATATGAGAGCCTTCAGTCTGTGTGGGGAAGGTGGCGCTCAGTTCCACCAGGTGTTTGGACTCCTCAGAATGGTCGCATGGGAGAGTAAAAGATTTCTCAAACATGCATGAATGAATCAAAGCAACACTCCAGGTATGTTATTAACCTGTTGGTCTCAGGTTGTCATTCACAATGACAGGGATGTCAAACTCCAGTCCTCAAGGGCCGCTGTCCTGCAGTGTTTAGATGTGCCACAGGTAAAAAACAGTGGAATGAAATGGCTTAATTACCTCCTCCCTGTGTAGATCGGTTCTCCTGAGCCTTGCTAATGACCTAATTATTCTTTTCAGGTGTGGTGCAGCAGAGGCACATCTAAAAGTTGCAGGACAGAGGCCCTTGAGGACTGGAGTTTGACACCTCTGTCACGAGAGGACCCAAACTTGGGTCCTCTCGTGACAGACAGGTTAATGAGGGAATAACATGACAATAGTTTTATTACATACACTGTATTCCCTAACAGTTGTACTAGCTCATAACTAATAAGTTCACAGCAGTCAAATGTTGTTATGGAGTTGACCAAACTATAAAGTATTGAGCTCTGTTGAGATTTATGCTACTTTAACTGAACAGGGCTCAGTATTTTATAACCCAATTTGTCTGGAACGCTCAAAAGTTTTAGGAACCATACTGACGTTATCAACGTCATGACGTTCTGGTGGGTGGGTCTTATCGCTCCCTCAGGTAAGATGAGTCAGCCATCTTGAATTTGCCTTGATGCGGAGAAATCTTGGCCAGCCTGTGAGTATGTGGAAGACGGTTTAATTTATTTTGATTGGTTTGAAATGCGCATTTTTACTTCCCGCTTCAAACCATCAGGGAAATAGTCTTATTTCCCTCGTTTTTTTAAAGCGCCGTCTTATCATCAACCATGATTTGGTAAGTAAGCAAAAAAAATGTTTGTTCTTTAAACTCAATTTAGATAGTCTTAAATTTGGAGCTGGGAATACATTTGTACAATGCGCACAGTGAATGTTTCTTATTGTAACTTCTGAAGTTGTTGAGTTGAATGTGACAAATACGTTATGTTCAGGGGTGCAAATTAGCACCCGCCACTGTGGCGGGGTAACAATTTGAACCGAAAAAAAAAAAAAAAAAAAAACTCATTTCATTTTAAACTTCTGTCCAGGGGAGGACTGACCCTGTGGAGTCCAGACTGATGTGCATAATCTCCATATCTGGTGGCCCTAGGTTGTCATGATTTAACAAAACAAAAAATAAAACAAAGCAAACAAAAAAATTTATTAAATATAATTTTTATCGACCGCTACAGCCCATTGGTTGATTTTATTAACGGACATTGGGCTTACCCAATAAAATCCCTTGGTTCTCCTTGGCTCTCATTGGCCCGCCATTTAAGGTTGCCACCTGTCCCTTAAAACAGTGTTTTTCAACCTTTTTTGAGCCAAGGTACACTGTTTTAATTGAAAAAATCTCGAGGCACACCACCAACCAAAAATGTAAACAAAGATA